CTGGACCCCCTCACTGCTTCATACTGGTCAAGAACTCAGGCCTGCACTGTTCTATTGGTGTGTGCCACACACTCAATTTTCATCTTCTCAAGAGTATGGTGAACCATTGGACTCTCAATCATGCATTTGTCTTTATCATGAGGATTTATTCAACCATACTATAACAGACCTCTCGGAGTAGGTTTCCATGGACAATTCAGTGTGATCATACAATTTCCAACCATATGAACTGACGTTTAATCATGGATCGTATAATTGTTTTCCATTTTCCCATGGAATAAAACGCAAAATGATTAACCTTCTCAAAAGAATTATGGATTATTGTGCTATGACCAAGTGAGAGAATCTACGGCAACACTCTGGCATTGTTGCTAATGATCCTTGAGTCTGCTTGCAAAAAAAAAAAAAAAAAAAACTCAGAAAAAGGGAATGCATATGTGCATGAAAAAGTTGAGGAACATTTTAAGTGTTGAGAGAGATTTTCTGACAAATTTGGGGAACCTGATGAAGCCGCTGGCATGCCTTTTCAAATCTCCTGGCCTCTGGAGTTATACAACTTACTGAAGACCTGAATCTCCGGGGCTGCAGTGAATAAAATATGATATCTATAACCCCAATTCCGAAATAGTTGGGACAAAGTGTAAATTGTGAATAAAATAAAAACGCAATGACTCAAATCACACCAGCCAGTATTTTATTCACACTAGAACAGAGATAACATAGCAAATGTTGAAACTGAGAAATTTTACAATTTTATCCACAAAATGAGCTAATTTCAAATTTGATGGCTGTTACAGGTCTCAAAAAGTTGGGACAGGGGCCTGTTTACCATGGTGTAGCATCCCCTCTTCTTTTTAACACAGAGTGGAGGCGTCTGGGCATTGAGGAGACAAGTTTCTTGAGTTTAGCCATTGGAATTTGACCCCACTCTTGATTAATACAGGCTTCTAGCTGCTGGAGAGTTTTTGGTCTCCTTTGACGGACTTTTCGTTTAATTATGCGCCAAATGTTCTCAATCGGAGAAAGATCAGGACTGCAGGCAGGCCAGTTCAGCACACGGACTCTTCTACTACGAAGCCATGCTGTTGTAATAGCTGCAGTGTGTGGTTTTGCATTGTCCTGCTGAAATACACAAGGCCTTCCCTAGAATAGATGTCGTCTGGAGGAGAGCATTTGTTGCTCTAAAACCTTTATATACCTTTCTGCATTCATGGTGCTTTTTAAAACATGCAAGTGTCCCACACCATATGCACTAATGCATCCCCATACCATCAGAGATGCTGGCTTTTGAACTGAACGCTGATAACAGGAGGAGTGGTCTTTCTCTTCTTCAGCCCAGAGGACACGACGTCCATGATTTCCAACAAGAATGTCAAATTTGGACTCGTCTGACCACAGGATACTTTGCCACTTTGCTACAGTCCATTTTAAATGAGCCTTAGCTCACAGAACACGGCGGCGCTTCTGGATCATGCTCAACAATGGCTTCCTTTTTGCATGATAGAGTTTTAGGTGGCATCTGTAGATGGCACGACGGACTGTGTTTACAGACAGTGGTTTCTCGAAGTATTCGTGGGCCCATTTAGTAATGTCAATGACAGAATCATGCTGGTGAGTGATGCAGTGGCGTCTGAGGGCCCCAAGATCACGGGCATCCAGTAAAGGTCTTCGGCCTTGTCCCTTACGCACAGAGATTTTTCCAGTTTCTCTGAGTCTTTTGATGATGTTATGCACTGTCGATGATGAGACCTTCAAAGCCTTTGCAATTTGACGTTGATGAACATTGTTTTTAAAGTATTTACCCATTTTTTTTACGCAGGCCTTCACAGGTTGGAGAGTCTCTGGCCATCTTCACTTCTGTGAGACTAAGCCTCTCTTAGACATCCCTTTTATAGCCAATCATGTTACACACCTGATGCCAGTTAACTTAATTACTTGCTAAATGTTCTTTCAGCTGATTCTCTTATATATTAATAGCTTTTTCAGCCTTATTTTGCCTGTGTCCCAAATTTTTTGAGACCTGTTGCAGCCAGAAAATTTGAAATAAGCTCATTTTGTGGAAAAAATGTAAAATGTCTCAGTTTCAACATTTGAAATGTTATCTATGTTCTTTTTTAAATAACATATTGGCTCATGCGATCTGAAAGTCATTGCATTTTGATTTTATTCACAATTTACACTTCATCCCAACTATTTCGGAATTGAGGCTATTATTGATTATACTGATTAAATTGTGCTTTTAATACCTGGGAACTGTTGAGGATCATATTTCAATATTTCTCATCATATTCATCAGTAAATCAATGACCATAATTAATAACCATAATCAATAATAATAATTAGTAACCATAGTATGTAAGCAGCAGTAACACATGTAACACACACACACACACACACACACACACACACGTGCGCGCGCATAAGCAGTTGGTTTCCGTAGCTTTGATTTACATCTGTTCAGTTGATTCAGGCAATATCAGTATTATTCAGCATTGTTCATCAGTAATCATATAGTTGTGCATGCATGCTTATGCATGTTAGTAGTTTTGATAACAGTAGCACAGCTATATGTGTTATATGAATTAGAAATATGTATAACCAATTTTACACTGGAAGAGGGTTGTTATCTTTTGGTTGCAGTTTTCAAGGCAAGTATGCAGTGTTTTGGTTTGCTTGTCTCTGGGACGACCTATGACCCATTTAAAAGTCCTCTTAAGCAATGAAGTAGCCTTGAAGTAGTTTTTTTGCAAAGGATGGCAACCAATGAGAAAAGAGAAAAACAAGTAAGATGCAGACATTACGTTATTGAACCATTCTAGCACGAGAGGGCAGAAAAACCATATTTGAAAGAAATTTTCAGGGATGAAGGTACAAAAATTAGATGTGAAAAGTGTAATGTCAGTTCTCGGCTTTGTATTGGTTCATATGACTAACTAAAGCCTAATTTTCTGAAGAATCTGCCTCTCTCCAATTGTTTGAGGATGGGATGGGGGAACCTCAAATATGAAAATATTTCTGAATGGAAACCACAACAGAACCTGACAGATATTAATGCAGATGTCACTGCTCCTGCCAACCAACCACCTTCATCGAAAATCAAGGTCAGATGGGCCATTTTTATATAAGATACAGAGCAAGATAGAATGTTAATTTCATAATTGCTCTGTATGATGCAGAATCCCTATGAGAGAGTATCTGAATTCAATAATCATATGATCTGGCCCATCTAATTTTCCATTTTATTTTACCCTAACTGTATATTGCTAAAAATCAAACTGATGAATCAGTGCAACATGGGGAATTGACATTTCTTGTTGTAAGATGCCAGTTGAACAGGCACTGGAAAGCAGTTGCCTTGGCAGAAAATAATTTTTTTCTCAAGGACGGGATCTCTGACCTTGAGTGAGCAGGTTGGTTGATGTTTATTCAATCCATTGTAGTTCTTCAATTCATGATTTCACCTTGCATTGCTTGTGATGAATATTACCAGAGGCAGCAGCTGCATCAATGCTTACCTCATTGATGCATAACATGACGGTTTAGGTGATGTTTTTTACATTTCCATTGTAAAACCACAACTGTTGCAGGACTTGAACCCACAACCTTTAAATTATCCATGGCACCACAGGGCCATCTGTTTTGTCAAAGGAGTGCATGCTTTTTACATTTCCATTGTAAAACCATGACTCTGGTGGGAGAGCACAGTCTGATATTGTAGCAGTTGTCCGCAATGGATGTAACCTTAACCTTATCGTCATAAATTTCTAAAAGTCCAATAGATTCAACATGTCAGGAGTCTGTGAAAATATGTGATTGCATGTAGATCTGGTAGATTTAAGCGCTTTAACAATGCAATCAGAGATGGCAGACTTCATTCAGGCAAATATTGGCAAGTGCGGAAACAGAAACAAACACGCAGAGCCACTAGATGGCAGACTTCACCCATTCAGGCAAATATTGGCAAGTGTGGAAACAAAAACAGACAGACAAACAAACAAACAAACACACAGAGCCGCTAAAAACAGAACTTCACACCCACTTCGTGACTGAAGTAATAATTGTTCTCTGCTTTTCCAGTGCTGCACATTACCAGAGGTACCTCCTCAATAGAGGTCTTCCTCAATGATAACACAATGAATGTTTTTTACATTGTAAAACTTTGACTCTGGTGGGACTCGAACCCACAACCTTTGAATTTCTGCTTCATACAGTAACTAGAAGTCCAATGCGCTATCCATTGCGCTACAGAGCCCACATGTATAGAGTCTGTCATGACATGCACACTCTGGTGTTTGTACCCATTGTGCAGGATGGATGAACCCATTCCCCCAAATTTGCAATCCACAGTCTGGAAGTGGACACCCTTTTCCACACCTGGGTTGGGCCTGAAACAGTCCCCTGACTACTGCCTTGGTAATATGTACTGTCTGCTCAAATACTGCCAATTGCATTCTGCCTTCCTGAACACATTGTCCAGGAATAGCAATCTGAGTATGAACCGGAAAAATGGCCACTTGGTATGTCAGCAAGTCTACGAGCATTGCTTCCGTAAAATGTTGTTTTCTGAACACATTTCAGTTATGTCAATGAGTGCATTCAGGAGTGTGATTTTCACAAGGTGCCCTGCAATTATTATGATGTTCCACACTGACGACGAGGCAAAGCAATTTTTGAGTCGTATAGCATTCTGATAGATCATGGAGAATAAGGCTAATTCCGTTACTTGGAGGCGGAAATATTTTCCTTCAATTAAATGATACTATTTAGTGCTGTTTGCCTTCCAGTTTAAATTACAGACGGTGAAATGGACTCAGATCACCTCAGGATTGAGTTACCATAAATCAATGCACTTAGAACCAGTATAGTTTAGTTCTTTGATTAATAACTGCACTGCGCTCTTTTAGTGCTGGACATTACCAGAGGTATCATGCGAATGCATATCTTTCTCAATGATATTGTATCTATTGAGTGCATGGTTTTAACATATCATCATAAAACCTCGACTCTGATGGGACTCAAACCCACAACCTTTGAATTGTTGTTTCACACGGTACCTAGAAGTCCTCTGTGCTATCCATTGCACCACAGAGTCCATGTGTACATATACTGCTGTGATACGCACAACCTGCTGTTTGTAGCAACTTTTTGTGTTAGGTAAGACAGGGGTAGGGAACTTTCTTCAGAAAGAGCCACTGTGGGTGCAGGCTTTCATATCGACCAAGCTGCTACACTCCTGATTCTACTAATCAACCTCTGGAATGTTTGTTAAGGGCCTTGATTAGTAGAATCAGATGTGTAGCACCTTGGTTGGTATGAAAGCCTGCACCCACAGTGGCTCTTTCTGGAGAAAGTTCCCTACCCCTGTCTTAGATAGTCCTCTCCAAACTTCCATACATCAAACAAGTTGTTAGGCATTCCTCTGCAGACTTTCATACTTCAAACTGGTTGCAAGGTAAATAATTCTGTGATTTACTACGGTAAAAAATAATTTGGTCAGAATCTCTCTTCATACATGCATAAATTAAAAGCAAGGGGTACTTTTAAAAGGGAACAGAAAAATAGCTAGTCTACCTAACACAAATGCTAGCATAATACACGATTGTATAAGTAGGCCTACCCTACTTATTAGTTCCTTATTGTGTCAACTCTTGGTTTGGATGCCACCACTGTAATTTCCCCATCTTGTCATTACACTGACAGTCTGCCAGTTTTAACTCTTAGACATTTTGCTGAGGGACAGGGGGAACATTATGTCAGCTTAGACAGATTTATTCAGCCATACATTCTAGCCAATCAGGAGGCAGAGACACATAGAGTGCTCAAACCTGGCGCTTTGTCTGATCCCAAAGCTATCCCTATGTCTGATGCAGATACTGCTTGTTTATCTGATGCCGATCTTCCCTCTCTGTCTGATGAACCGGCCTGAATGTCTGATGGAACTGCCCCTTTGTCTGATGAACCTGGCTTTCGGTCTGAGACTGAACCTTGGTTGGTGTGCAATGCTGATGCTCAGACTATTCCTTTAGTTTTCATGGTAGGGAATGCTGAAAATGAGCCAGAAGGTCCATACCTGCCTTCTGAAATATTATGAATGATTATTGGATTTGCTCTAAATTAAACATGACATGTCAATGCTTGGGACATTCAATCGGGTATCACAGTCATTCCAACAACTATCTGAGCCATTTCATCCTCTACTGTATATAAGAGATCCACTTGCAGAGAGCCTTGAACTAGACAAGGATAATGAATGTCACATCGGAATTATGAGGCTTTGCAAGGCTGCTGGACACAGCAGTGGTCTCAGCACTTGAATTAAGGAGTTGTTTAGTAAGGACAGACAATGGTTTAAAGCCTGAATTCTTCTAAGTCATGTAGCTTTTGGGCAGTATAAAGTTAAGGATATCTACTGGAGGAAGTAATGACATTTTGTTTGTTTTGTTATTTTTTTTTTGTCATTTATAAATACATGACACTAGGCTACCTCAAGCATAAATGTTCAACTGTGACAACTGAATTTTGCCACATTACAGTTTAGAATTTGTTTCTACTAAGATCATGATGAGAGATACAAGGGACCATTTTCTGTAATTATCATGAGATGTCTCCAAATGAATTCTGATAGTTCATGGTGTATATTCAGAGGTTTGCTGCAAGAGATTGGAGATTGAGTGTCTTGACAGTGCAAGTCCAGTTCTTTCAATACAGTTCTAAATAAGAACTGAAAAGTCTTACGTTTTCGTAAGTTGTGTGAAAAAAATTTAAAAAATGTTTTCCGTGAAAAAAATGTGGTAAATTCATTTAACAATGCAACATCCTAAAAGAGACACAGATTTCATGGTATGTTGTGAAAAATCTGAATAGCTTATCTGCTAGAAGTTTAATGATTAAAGTGCAGAAATAGCAGAGGGCAGTCAAATAAACAACCATAACAAAGGAAAGGGGGAAAGATAAAGAATGCCAGATGATATATAGGCTGCTATCTTTGATGAATGCATGTGACAACTATGACATCGACTTAAATTGCACAAGATCTGGCCTATAATTTCTAAGAAATACAGAAATAGTCATTTATTATTTGAAAAGCATCACCAATTATTTCATTAATTGATGATTCACAGATCATTGGCATCATCACATTTAAAATGAGCAAAACTTCGCAAAAAGAATTTTGGGCATTCATTATGTTTTGGGTCATTGTTATGTTTTGGGCCATTATTACGTTTTGGATTTTATTACATTAAAACTCTTACATTTTGGGCTGTTATTACATTTTGGGCCGTTATTATGTTTTGGGTTTCATTACATAAAATTATTACGTTTTGGGTCGTTACTACGTTTCGGGTCATTACGTTTTGGGTTATTACGTTTCGGGTCATTATTACATTTTGGGTTATTACATTTCGAGTTATTACGTTTCGGGTCGTTATTACATTTCGGGTTATTAATGTTTCGGGTCCTTATTACGTTCTGGGTTGCTACAGAGGATAAGGCTATTTAAGTCATTTGCAGGAGGAATTCTTTTCCTTCAGTTAAATTACACTATTTAGTGCTATTTGCATTTTAGAATTAATTTCAAAAGTCCAATAGATTCAACATGTGTCACAGGGGACTGTGAACATAGATGATGGCATGCAGATCTGGTACAGTTTAGCTTTTTAATTGATAATTGTGTGGCTCAGGGCAATAATGGCGTATGCCACAATTTTAGATAACATTGTTTTTTGCTGGAATCATACTCTTACTCCCTTTAGCTACATGCCCATGAAATACCTAAGCTATGTGGCTTACGCCAAAGCCTCTATATCGTATGTTGTGAACACTGTCAATGAGTCTTTGTTACTGACTCCAGGCAATAATGGCTTATGCCACAAGCCACGGTTGGCATTTAAACTTTTCGACCAATCATCACTCCTTAGTCCACAGTGCAAGGTAGTAAATGGTAGTTAAGGAAATAGTAGAAATATTAATTGAATAGTTATTTAACTATTTAATGTGATGTTATTATGTGATGTTTTCGATGCTGTTAAATCATTCTTAGAGTTTAGTACTTTTTCGCCATTCTGATCATTGGTTACTACCTCTAAAAAAAAAGATAGAATCTTTTGTATTTGCAGAAATATGGCTGAATGTAATATCATTAAAATGCATGTGCATAAAAACTGATAGTTTGCACATTATATGAATGGTTCACAAAATTTCAAAAAGTCAAATGTCTCGAAAAGTTCCGACAGTGGCATAAGCCGTTATTGCTCCGAGCCACACAATTGTTCTGTGCTTTTCAAGTGCTGGATATTACCAGAGGTACCTCCTCAATGATAACACAACACAGAGCATGCTTTGTACATTTACATTGTAAAACCACAACTCCGGAGGGACACAAACCCACAACCTTTGAATTTCTGCTTCATACAATAACTAGAAGTCCTATGTGCTATCCATTGCGCTATCCATTGCACTACAGAGCCCATGTCTGTGGTTTCTGTCATGATATTCATACTCTGGTGTTTGTACCAACTGCACAGGATTGATGAACCCATTCCCACCAAATTTGCAATCCACAGTCTGGAAGGGGACACCCTTTTCCACACCTGGTTTGGGCCTGAAACAGTCTGCTAACTACTGCCTTGGTAATATGTACTGTCTGCTCAAATACTGCCAACTGCATTCTGCCTTCCTGAATACATTGTCCAGGAATAGCAATCTGAGTATGAACTGGAAAAATGGTCACTCGGTATGTCAGCAAGTCTAAGAGCGTTGCTTCTGTAAAATGTTGTTTTCTGTACACATTTCAGTTATGTCAGTGAGTGCATTCAGGAGTGTGATTTTCACAAAGTGCACTGCAATTATTATGATGTTCCACACCGACTACGAGTCAAAGCAATTTTTGAGTCGTATAGCATTCTGATAGATCATGGAAAATGTCTAATTCCGTTACTTGGAGGAGGAAATGTTTTCCTTCAATTAAATGATACTATTTAGTGCTGTTAGCCTCCCAGTTTAAATTACACATGGTGAAATGGACTGAAATCATGTCAGGATTGAGTTACCAAACAATATTGCAAGTAGAGGTTGTATAGTTTAATTCCTTAATTAGCAACTACACTGCACCCATCTGGTGCTGGACATTACCAAATGCACAATGCAAATGCATGTCTTTCTCAATGATAGTGCATGGTTTTCACATACCATCATAAAACCTCGACTCTGATGGGACTCGAACCCACAACCTTTGAATTGCTTCTTCACATCGTAATCTAGAAGTCCAATGCGCTGTCCATTGCGCCACAGAGCCCCCTGTGTGCACAAATGCTGCTGTGATATGCCCAACCTGATGTTTGTAGCAAATGTACTCAATGGAGGAACCCTTTCCCACCAACAAGTATGCAACCAACAGCCTGGATGAAGACACCCCCTTCCACACCGGGGTTGTGTCTGATACAGCCCCCTAACCAGGAAAGTCAATAATTCTACGAATTTTGTTTCCTAAAAATCCCAGCTTGTCAACACATTTCTGCCATTTCAATGCCTGCATTCAGGAGTATTATTTTCACAAAGTGAGCTGTTCTTCTTAGGATGTTCCACAATGAGGATGAGGCAAAGTGATTTTTGGGTTGTATAGCATTCTGACAGATCATGGAGGATAAGGCTATTTCAGTCACTTGCAGGAGGAATTGTTTTCCTTCAGTTAAATGACACTATTTAGTGCTATTTGCATTTTAAAATTAATTTCAAAAAGTCCAATAGATTCAACATGTGTCTCAGGAGACTGTGAACAAAGATGGTGGCATGCACATCTGGTACAGTTTAGCTTTTTAATTGATAATTGTTCTTTGCTTTTCAAGTGCTGGATATTACCAGAGGTACCTCCTCAATAGAGGTCTTCCTCAATAATAACATAACACAGAGCATGCTTCGTACATTTCCATTGTAAAACCACGACTCTGGTGGGACTCGGACCCACAACCTTTGAGTTTCTGCTTCATACAGTAACTAGATGTTCAAAGCGCTATCCATTGTGCTACAGAGCCCATGCCTGTAGTTCCTGTCATGACATGCACATTCTGGTGTTTGTACCAACTATACAGGATTGATGAACCCGTTCCCATCAAATTTGCAATCCACAGTCTGGAAGGGGACACCCCTTTCCACACCTGGGTTGGGCCTGAAACAGTCCCCTGACTACTGCCTTGGTAATATGTACTGTCTACTCAAATACTGCCAACTGCATTCTGCCTTCCTGAATACATTGTCCAGGAATAGCAATCTGAGTATGAACTGGAAAAATGGTCACTCGGTATGTCAGCAAGTCTAAGAGCATTGCTTCTGTAAAATGTTGTTTTCTGTACACATTTCAGTTATGTCAATGAGCGCATTCAGGAGTGTGATTTTCACGAAGTGCACTGCAATTATTATGATGTTTCACACCGACGACGAGGGAAAGCAATTTTTGAGTCGTATAGCATTCTGATAGATCATGGAGAATAAGGCTAATTCCGTTACTTGGCGGAGGAAATGTTTTCCTTCAATTAAATGATACTATTTAGTGGTGTTTGCCTTCCAGTTTAAATTACACGTGGTGAAATGGACTGAGATCATGTCAGGATTGAGTTACCATACATCAATGCACTTAGAGCCGGTATACTTTAGTTCCTTTTTGGGGACCTGGCTATAGCTAAGCAAAACGCCAATTTTGGTTCAAAATTTTAGTTTTGAGGTAAGAACACGAAGTGGTCCTTCAAATAGTCAGTAATATGGAGTCGTGTTCCGAAGGAACCATTCGTCACGAGCACTGTCTTCAAGGCTGGAACAGCTATGAGTGTGGTGACTTTCAATGATGGCCAACGAGGAATTGCCTCCATTCTTATGAAACTTGGCATAAAGGCAAGGGCACACTCAATGAAAGGCTATCATGAAATGAACAGAATACGTGTGAAACAGAGTGAAAAACGTGCACTAGAACTTTAAAAAAAGAAACCAATAGACGCTCGACAAGCACGTAAAACTGGGGAAGAAACACAGATTGAAGAAGAGGGAACTACTTATGAGGCTGGTGCCTTTTAAGGAGGTAAAAAAAATCCTAAAAACCACTGAAAACAAAATACTAAATGTATTCCTCCTGAGAACATTACTGTCAAACTTCGATCACATTATTACTGCCGAACTAAAATCATGTTTTTCAAAAAATACAGATTTTCAACAAGAAAATGCAGATTTCTCAGCAACTGTACATCCAATTAACTTCATATCTGGCTGTTTTCTTCATTTTGTGATGATAAATGTCTGTACAGAGCTCTTTTTGCAATTTGTACCTCTGAATATGAGCAAATCAAAATATGCATATTTAATTAGCTGTTTCCTGCCGAAATTGATTTAGGGGGGGTCAAAATCAATACTAGAACATAGAAACCTGGAAAAAAAAAAAGCTCTGTAGTGACATTAGGAATGTTTTTTCCTTCACATTACAGCTGAAATTATAACCAAACACAGTTTAATTATCTCAATAACTGTATCTATATATTCATTAAAACAGCCGTTGCCATAGCAACCGCTGATGTGATGCTACAGAAACTCAGTGTTTTAAGTTGCAATTTCTAATAGAATTACTTTGATAATAATTCTTAGTTTAAAAAATGAATATCTTGGAAAAATCTTTGCTTAACTATAAGTCCCTTAATTAATAACTGCACTGCGCTCTTCTAGTGCTGGACATTACCAGAGGTACCATGCAAATGCACGTCTTTCTCAATGATAGCACATCAACTGAGTGTATGGTTTTCACATACCATCATAAAATCTTGACTCTGGGGAGACTTGAATCCACAACCTTTGAATTTCTGCTTCATGCAGTAACTGTAAGTCCATTGCACTACAGAGCACACGCATGTAGTTTCTGTTATGACATGCACACCTTGGTGTTTGTACCAATTATACAGGATGGATGAACCCATTCCCATCAAATTTGCAATGCACAGCCTGGAAGGGGACAACCTTTTCCCCACCTGGGTTGGGCCTGAAACAGTCCCCTGACTACTGCCTTGGTAATATCTACTGTCTGCTCAAATACTGCCAACTGCATTCTGCCTTCCTGAATACATTGTACAGGAATAGCAATCTGAGTATGAACCGGAAAAATGGTCACTTGGTATGTCAGCAAGTCTACGAGCATTGCTTCTGTAAAATGTTGTTTTCTGAACACATTTCAGTTATGTCAATGAGTGCATTCAGGAGTGTGATTTTCAGTGTGTGGTGATGTTCCACACTGACGATGGGGCAAAGCAATTTTTGAGTCATATAGCATTCTGATAGATCATGGAGAATAAGGCTAATTCCGTTACTTGGAGGCGGAAATGATTTCCTTCAATTAAATGATACTATTTAGTGCTGTTTGCCTTCCAGTATAAATTACACACGGTGAAATGGACTCAGATCACATCAGGATTGAGTTACCATAAATCAATGCACTTAGAATCGGTATAGTTTAGTTCTTTGATTAATAACTGCACTGCGCTCTTTTAGTGCTGGACATTACCAGAGGTATCATGCAAATGCACATCTTTCTCAATGATAGTGCATCTACTGAGTGCATGGTTTTTACATACCATCATAAAACCTTGACTCGATGGGACTCGGACCCACACTCTTTGAATCATTGCTTCACACAGGACCTAGAAGTCCACTGCGCTATCCATCGCACCACAGAGCCCATGTGTGTATATACTGCTGTGACATGCACAACCTGCTGTTTGTAGCAACTGTACTCAATGGAGGAACCCTTTCCCACCAACAAGTATGCGACCAACAGCCTGGATGAAGACACCCCCTTCCACACCGGGGTTGTGTCTGAAACAGCCCCCTAACCAGGAAAGTCAATAATTCTATGAATTTTGTTTCCTAAAAATCCTGGCTTTTCAAGACATTTCTGCCATTTTAATGCATGCATTCAGGAGCATGATTTTCAGGAAGAGAACTGTATTTTTTAGGATGTTCCACAATGAGGATGAGGCAAAGCCATTTTTGGGTTGTATAGCATTCTGACAGATCATGGAGGATAAGGATATTTCAGTCAATTGCAAGAGGAATTGTTTTCCTTCACACTATTTAGTGCTATTTGCAATATGGAATGAATTTCAAAAAGTCCAATAGATTCAAAATGTGTCACAGGAGACTGTGAACATAGAGGATGGCATGTAGACCTCGCACAGTTTAGCTTTTAAATTGATAATTGTTCGGTGCTTTTCCAGTGCTGCATATTACTAGAGGTACCTCCTCAATAGAGGTCTTGCTCAATTATAACACAACGGAGAGGATGCTTTTTACATTTCCTTTGTAAAATCATGACTCCAGTAGGAGTTGAACCCACCACCTTTCAATTTCTGCTTCATACAGTAACTAGAAGTCTAATGTGCTATCCATTGCACTACAGAGCCTACACACTTTGTTTCCCTTGTGATATGCACAGTCTGATGTTTGTACCAAGTGTACAGGATGGTTGTACTCTTTCCCACCAAATATTTGATGCACAGCCTGGAAGGGGACACCCCTTTCCACACCAGGGTTGGACCTGAAACAGTCCCCTAACTACTGCCTTGGTAATATGTATGCACTGTCTATTCAAATAATGTCAACTGCTTTCTGTCTTCCTGAATACATTGTCCAGAAATTGCAATCTGAGTATGAACTGGAAAAAGGGTCACTCGATATGTCAGCAATTAAACGAGTGTTATTTCCTAAAAGTACTTTTTCTGTACATATTTCAGGCATTTCAATGAGTGCATTCAGGAGTGTGATTTTCAGGAAGTGCGCTGCAATTATGATGATGTTCCACACTGATGACGAGGCAAAGCAACTTTTGAGTCGTGTAGCATTCTAATAGATCATGGAGGATTAGGCTAATTCTGATACTTGGAGTGGGAAATATTTTCCTTCAATTAAATTATACTATTTAGTGTGGACTGAGATCATATAAAGATTGAGTTATATGATTGCACGTAGAGCCGGTAGAGTTTAGTTCCTTAATTAACAACTGCACTGTGCTCTTCTAGTGCTGGATATTACCAGAAGTACCATCCAAATGAACATCTTTCTCAATGATAACGCATCAAATGAGTGCATGGTTTTTACATACCATCATAAAACCTCTACTCTGATGGGACTCGACCCCACAACCTTTAAATTGCTGTTTCATACAGTAACTAGAAATCCAACCTGCTGTCCATTGCGCTACAGAACCCATGCACTTTATTTCTGTCATGACATGTACGTGGCTGTCCTGGGCAGGCATGGTTTCACATGCTCTGCGGTTGTGAATCCAATTGGGTGGACTTCCAAAATCTCTGAGACGATGCTGGAGGTGGCTTATCATGGAAAAATGAAAAATTCATTTTCTGGCAACAGCACTGCAGGACATTCCAGCAGTCAATATACAAATTGCAGTCCCTTAAATTTTGCAGCATCTGTTGCATGGGGTTGTACAACAAAAGAATCAACATTTTAGGGTGGCATTTTGTTTACCCCATCATTGGCAGCACCTTAGTAGTGATCATAACATCAATTCAATTTTAAATATTTACTTATTGTTTCATGACACTTCAAACGCATTATTTTGTCGCTATGTCGTGTCATCCACTGTACTCTTCTAAATACATGTAGGTAGGGAATCATTGTGTTTACTCAGATTTTCATATCTAAGGTCAATTTAGTCTCTCGTCGGCATGCATGTAGTTGGACTGCTGGAGAACACCGCAGTACCCAGAGTAAACTCGTAGGAACACAGATAGAAAACGTAAACCCAAAGCAGAAAGGTCCAAGGCCGGATTCAAACCCACTAAAGCGCTACCCACTGCACCACTGTGCTAGCCAAACAGCGATGTAAACAAATGTGTCGATGAAATTTGAGAAAATTAAGATCTTTGTGCATATGGAAAAACTCTTTGATGTATTATCTCAACACACAAAAATTTTGCATTTATATTTTTTGTTGTGTTTATATTTTCTTATCTTGTTTGCAACATTTCGCTTCCCCTCTCTATCTTTTTGCATGTCATTACTTCATGTCCTTCAGCTAACAAAAAAATTATGTCCAAGATTTTATATTTCGTCAGCAGGACCCTATAACAGATTGTGATGTGGTAGGTCACCAAGGCAACAATATTATGGTAATAAAAATACAATAGATGCAACCTGTTTGCAGTGTGATGAAGGTTTGGTTGAGATTTCAGGAAAGTTTTAAGGTATAATTGAGTATGAGGGATGGGTTGTTGCCTAAACACACAAAAATACGCTAATTTGACATTGCTCCACAAATAATGAGGGAGCAACATTTAATTCAAAATTTTCTCAATAACAGACTGTCTCATAACGAATATGAAACAGTCCAGCAAAGACACTTAATCACATTTATCATTTAAAAGTGAAATATTTTTATTTTTCTAAAAAAAAAATTACAAAAAAAAAACCCAGAAAGAGAAAAACTTTGAGCGTTCATTTTTGGATTTCTGATATTGTAAAACTGCACCCTCCCCTGCAAACACATTGCCACCGCCACCCCCCCCCGCCAAAAAAAAAAAAAAAAGAAAGAAGCCTGGCACAAGGGCTTAACTCATGACCAACAACTGTTTACAAAAAAATGTTAATGATGTTAAGACTGCATCACAAAATATCCTGCACCAATTATTATCATTAAAATATGACACACCACCAGCAGCAAGCATGCAAGTGCACCCATGAGAATCAAACTGTGTCTATGCATCAAAGGTTTGCAGATGCGCATTTGCCCTTAGGCACACATTCACTTTAAGTTCAAACCATTATACAACTTTTATAAGTGCAAGTACTGTACCACGGTAGCTGTCAGTATTTAGAAACATGATAGGCCTTTTGCAATCTCACTTCAAACATATTATCAAGATAATGTGGGGATGCAAATAAATACAACAAGCTTGACTCCAAAAACTAAAATATTCATGAATAAAATTCAAGAATACGCTTCAAATCTGGGATGCACACATTTTAAAATGGCAAACCATGCCTCTTTCTTTCATTTTTTTCATTTGAGGTGTCTTTTGTGCACTCGGTCATTCCTCTCTATGGTCAATTTCAGCTTACACCCACATTGTTCACCCACTGCAGCAATAAGACAAAGTTTTGGATGTCAGCTCAGGCTGAGTGTGACTGATCCAGTCTCACTTGCCCTAATACTGCAGTTACAGGCTATGGTTGGTATGGTCACACACTACTTCAGCCGTGCCAAAACCCTCGTAAAGAATTCAGATTGACATATGCACAAGAGTTGCATACTAGCTGAAGACATAATTGGGAATGCGGCAATCGAATCTTTCATTAAAACGGCCATCTTAGGTGGGTCTGCACGGCCGATAAACAAAAACTGGGGCTTTTCTTGAGATCTGTTGAAGATTTTAAACTGTAAGTTCTGCAATAAAATCCTGTATCACCCACTGGGTATTGCAGATAGGATTTCTGCTTATTCAACCATGTCCACAGGACAGAAACTGTTATGACTGGTATAGCTGAGAAGGTTCAAATGGAGAAGAGGCAGGCCAATTTCTAAATTCAACCAGGAATATGATGGCCCGAGCTGGCACTGTCTAAGCCCTTGTCTTTCTGTTTGATAAAAAAGTTCATAAAATGTCAATAAAATATTGACAAATAACAACTAATTTGTGTTTGCAAACTCACCTCAACCTTTGACCATGTCAGCTTTGCCTGTCAGATGCGGTGGAAGTTTCAACTTGGCCTGCCTTCATTCTGCTTTGATTTGTCCCCTCAACTGAATCAATCATAACAGTTTCTGCTCAGGGTAAATGTTTCAATGAACGAAACTCCTACACAATGATCACAAACAATGAGAGAAAAGTAATGACCGCAGATGACCATCATGACCTTTGGGACAACACCATTGATTGAGAGGGAGAAACATTTTTATTAGTCAAAGCACAAAAGCAAGTCCACCTCTGAATGGCAAAAAATGAAGGCATTGGAGTGGCCTGGTCATAGTCCTGTCTTTATTCTACTTGAGATGCTATGAACAGATCTTCAACAGGCAATTCATGCTCAAAACCCTCCAATGAGGCTTAATTAGAACTATTTCTGTAAAGAGGAGGGGGTCAAATTTCCTCCATAACGATGTTAAAGACCCACTGCCAGTTACTGAAAAAGTTTGATTGTGGTTGCTGCCACCAATGATGGCACAACCAGTTATTAGGTCTAACAGGGCAATTTTTTTTTTTATCATAGTGATAAAGATTTTGAATAACTCTTCACCCTCAATAAATGAGATAATCATTTGAAAGCTGCATTTTGTGGTTAATTGCATTGTCTTCGCCATGTCGTAAAATTAGTTGGATGATGTGAAACATTCAAATATGATAAATCAGCAAAAATAGAAGCAATCCCGTCACTATATATACATTCCTGCCATTCAGGCCTGCAATACATTTCAAAAAAGTTGGGAAGGGTTCAATTTAGGACAAGATATGAGACTTAAAAAAAAATGTAAATGATGTAATTGGAAACAGCTGATGTAAGGAGGTGATTATAATCATGATTTGGTACAAAAGTAGCATCAATGAAAGGCCTAGTCCCTCAGGAGCAAAGACAGGCCAAGGATCTCCAATCTGCCCACAAATGTGTGACAAAAATCACTGAAAGGTTTAAAACAATATTTTTCAAAAAAAGATGGGGAAGATTTCAATATTTTACCTGACAGGGCACATAACATAATGAAAATTTTCAAGGAACCTGGAGGTACGTCTGCAAGTAAAGGGCAAAGGTGTAAGCAGCTAAATAGCCTTAATAGCCGTGATCCCTGATAACTCAAATGGCACAGCATCAAGACCAATCATTAATCCATGTGTGATGCAACCACATGGGCTCAGGATTGCTTTGCATTTGTCAAGTAATATAATATGTAGTTACATCCATAAATGCCGGTGAAAACTTTACTCTGCCAAAAGGAAGGCTTATGTCAGCAGCATTCAGAATAGGCTTTGACTTCGCTGGACTCTACTATCAACTATCACACAGAAGAAACATGCACTGTGGTCAAACAAATCAATATCTTTGGGGGGGGGTTGTTAGAAATGGAGAATGTGTGCTCTGGACCAAAAAAAAAAAAAAAAAAAAGACCATCCAGACTGTTACCAGCAACAAGCCCAAAGGCCAAAGTCATGCTCTGTCATGGTATGGGGTTGGGTCAGTGCCCTTTGCAAAATTACTTGTTCTTTTGTTGAACAATCATTAATGCTGAAAGTAGAGCTTTTGGAGCAACATATGCGGACATCTTTATCGGGGACGCCCATGCATATTTCAACAAAGACAATCCAAAGCAACACGCGGACAGATTACATTCAAAGTCAATGAAAAGACGTGAATACAAGTGAAAAGACGCCAGTTCATGCTGGGCGACGCAAATCATGTGGGAGATGCGGCCTGACGCAACACAAATGGCGCGCCAATGTACAAAATTCGCATGTCGCTCCACCTCAAAATATTCGTGTCAAGAAGAAATTTTGCGTGAGTAGAGCAGTGGCAGCAACACTAGCTAGCTAGGTCACCTAGCCACATACTAAAATTGCTATTATGCTGGGTGCACACTACAGGAGTTTCCAAATCTTTTATGATCTTAAAATCGCGGGGGGCTGCACACATAACGATAATCCTTGCCGATTTTAATCAACGAGCTGTGTACAAATTCAGCCAAGAAGAGGGACACAGCACACTACAGCTCCCAATATCCTTATCTTCCAAGATTTCACAAAAACTCGCATAATCAAACGTGACTTCGACATCATTTCCCTTTTCTTGGGCACGAGATTTTTGTGAGTCCAGTGCAAGCTTTTTAGCGTTAACGCAAAACAAAGCTGTCTCCAGCTGTCCGTTAGGGCTCTTTTAACGTTAGCAGGTTTGTTTCGCCAAAATGCCGGATAGTTGTTGTGCTATAGTCTGAGCTGTGTGGGGGCTCTAACATAACTAACGTTAGGGGTGAAGATAAATAAATAATAGCTACAACTCGGAAGTGTCGGAGATGGCTGCGGTATTGCGACAAAGTTTCAATATTTCAGCAGCTTGTTTATGAGCAACGCTGCCCCTTGTAACAGTAATTTAGCTCGAAAACAAAACTAGCCATTCTTGACGTAACGCCCTGTAGGATCATCCCCGAACGCCCGATAATATCCAACATGTGGGATATTATCGGGGAGGTCCCGATCAGTT